ACATAAAATAAGAGCATGCCTCTGAGTTATCTGGGGAAACGTTAAGGAATGTTAATGGCAGTTCAACAGATATCAAGTTCCTTTGGGTCGTTATGGAGTGAAAGAAGTGTTTTGCTCATCTGTCTCATGCTTTTAGAGATGCTATTTTTCAAATGGGCTGTAAAACTGAGCTCTTCATTATTTGTGATTTGTCATAGCTATCTTAACTCTGTCAACAGAAGTAAGAATTGATTCAAGTAACACCTCTGTGATTTGAACAGCTGCTTTCCACCTACCTGCATTTCCTGTTTGGAGACATTTTTATGTATTTTTATTTCTTGGGCTTAGTGTTGGATGCAATAATGTTGATGGTGTTATGCAAGCTGCAATAAGACCATTATACCATGAATTAYGAGTACTTCATTGACATCAAAGTGCTTTTCAGAATAATAGTTTTCTCTCTTCTTCCCTCTCCCAACAAATAGTCTATAAGCACAAAGATGTACTTTTAATTTTTTTTTGTTTTTATTATTTTGAAATAACTGAAATTAATGACTCCAAAAACAATTTTATGTATGATGTACTTTTGTTTTTAAGCATTGCCCTGTCTGTTAAATTGAGGTTTATTTCTCATTTCTCTCTCTCTTTTTTTTTTTTAATATACATTCCAATAGAGGCTTAGTCTTGTAAGTTCAAAAATTCAATGCATTTTTAAAGCATAYACTAATGGAATGGTGGCATGAGGACTCCAAAATCACCAGAAGTTGATTAAGGCTTTATATTAACTTGGGAGTTGCCCRGGTGTTGAAAGCGTAAGAAGAATCAAGTATTTGTTTGTATGACCTAACAGAAGCTGTTGTACTATGAGGTACAGGCTTCTGTGTTCTGARGTACAGGCTTCTATGTTAGGTGTTATTGAACTTTTGTCGCTTAAAACTGTTGCTTAAAACTTTGAATATAGTTTGCACTTGTCTTTGGAAACAATTTCTGATGTATTGTCAGYACCTTTGAATGTAAGAGTTCAAGCACAATGAACTTTCTAAGGCCATACAGAAAGAAATGGAGAAGATAATCGTGCATGGAGAAGCATGGAGAAGATAATCCCACTAAAAACATATCAGAACAGAGTGTTAATGAGGAAAGACTCTGAAATATGAAAAGCTAGTGTAGGACTAATATTCATTTAGATTTTTCTCTTATAAATCATTTTGCATTAACTTTGTTTCCTAAAATCTCATTTTTTGCTGATATACAAAGAAGAATCCCTTTGCATTTGCCTTGTGTTTGTTTGATTGCCAATTGAACCAGTCTATTGTGGTAGCAGTCCCAACAAGGTAATGTAACTATGCTTAGGTTTGAGGCTTTGGCTGCAGTTTGTTTTTGTGAGTGACTTTATGAAGTTGTCTTTTCTCCAGGGAATTCTTAATTTGAAGATAAAATATTGCTTATCTTCCATTTTCATTAACTTCAGAGCTGCCACCTGCTTTCTATTGAATTAGTAATGTAATTGCGGATAATGTCTTAAAAAAGGGAAGGGAAGGAGGATGGCTTACAGCATTATCATGCTGTTCCAGTTACAAGGGGAATAGAAGGTGTGCACTGGGAAATAACAAAATGTTAGTRCTCAGGCAATGTGTGAGCACGCTGCGTTGAAGCTGTCTCTCTCCCCCTCTCTCTATACTGTCAAGTACATGTCTGAGCAGTGSAGATGAGGGAATGGTTGAAGTGAATAACTGCTACTTCCCAATTTGATGCTTTTCCCTATGGATAGGGCTTTAGGGGGGTATTTCTGAGATTCTCTGGCAAGTTTTAACACATTAACGCATATAAGAAGCTTTTCTTTCAGTGGAGAGGCATGTATAGGATCTGCGGCCACTTCTTGGCTGATTGTTTTCAGGCATYTTCAGTTACTCTTCCCACTTTTATATTTCTTTAATGAAAAGTAGAGATGGGTGTGATTGGGTGTGAATGAAGTTAGTGAGCCATAAATGTGTAAGAACAGTGTCAATCATATATTGTCCTTATTCTTAGGAAAACTATGTCTGAAAACCTCTTTCAAGCAGAGCTCTTAAATGGCAGGTTCTTAAAAATGATTCCTTTGCAGTGTTGGAGGTTTTTTTCTTTTCTTTCCTTTTTTTTTTTTTTTTTTTTTTTTTTTGTCTACTTTCTGCTGAGGGAGGGAGGGCAGTGCTTTAAGAGGTTCGAGTCAATATTCAACAGAACAAGCAAACTCTGCTGTCTCACTTCTGCTCCTGCCGTTGTCAGGTAAGCAGCATGCCAGCTAGCTACAAGAAGTTCACACATCGCATGCTGAGCATCAGTTCCTTGTTCCTGCTTCCGCACTGGCTGCACCTAGTTACAGACTCCTCAAAGAAAAACAGAAATATAGGGTGCAGCTCAACTCCTCTCTGCAGTGTCAAGCCAAAAAAACCCTTCGTTGACAAATAGATTGGATTTGCATTGACTCACTTATCCATGCTGGAAATCTGTCCGCTTGGCAGCAAGTATAGGGGAAATGCTGCAAAGATTCCACAAGTCCCTCAGTGGGAGACAGACTGCACCACAGGACATATTTCATTCTGATCAATATGATTTAGTTTGTGGAAAAAAAAGGTGTRTCAGTGTTACACTGTTAAAGCCACTATAAATATTTTTATCAAAATACTTTGCAGAAAATTACATTTTAAAATTAGTGATTTAATTACTGTAAATTACATTGGAAACAGTCTTCCCCTTGAGGCCAGGAATGTTATTTCCCCATGTTGTGCATATTTAAACTGATAACAATCTGTAGGCTGCTGTTTGTTGCTCAGGTAAAGCTGAAGCAAACTTCCAATATGCAAAAACAATCTCTGATATCCTTATGACACATTACTTAATTATAAAAATGGAAAGATGACCCTTGGAAAAGGAGTACCTCTGCACGCTGAGTACTCTTTGCACTTGTCTGCCATTCTCTGTATGTTTTTTTATTTTTGCCGTATAAGTAATAATAAGGCTTGATGTTCCTCATTGCTCAAACAGCTTGATTCCCTTCATACCAGGAGGAAATAATTTTGTTACACAGCACTTGTTTTTGAAGGCATTAAAAACTGTGTTGTTTAGAACTGCTTGCTGGACAGGGTAATAATCTCCTGCTTGAAGTTTAAATTAACCCCAGTCATTTGAAACATCCCTCTGGGCCCCAACAGTCTCTCCAACCCAAAGGGAATTTGTGCAGTTCTAGGCATTGAGAGCTGTCATCTCTAGTGTATGTTCTTTTTTTGAAAGATAAGCTTGTGTGTAACCACATGGTGCTGTTATACTGTGCAGTGTTAAATATACAAAATCAATTATGATGGGTATTTGCTATGCAACCTAGCTGCTCCGATGGGCTCCMTTTGCTACTGCATCTGAAGGCTTTCTGGGAATGAAAGCTATAAGTGAATTCATGTTTCAGCCTTTTCCTCAAGTTTGGCTCTTCATTGGCTTTTCATCTCAACTGGATAACAAGTTGACCATAAAGCAGCAGTGTGCACTCATGGCCAAAAAGGATGCTCCACATCTGGAGCACTGTGTCCAGTTCTGGGCTCCCGAGTACGAGAGGGATGTGGAGCTGCTGGAGAGAGTCCAGCGCAGGGCTAYGAGGATGATCAGGGGCCTGGACCATCTGCCCTATGAGCAAAGGCTGAGGGAGCTGGGCCTGTTCAGCCTGGAGAAAAGAATACTTACCTGGCAGGGGAGACACCATGATCAGGCAGGTGGTTTTCCCAGAGTGAGGCTCATCCCTTGCACTCTGGGTGTGCTGACCCCTGCGATTTCTCCAAATGAGGGAAACTCGACTGCATAGTATTTGCTCTTCTCATTGGTGGCCAGYGACAGGACAAGAGGAAATGGGTGTAAGTTGAAACCCAGGCAGTTTCATCTCCAGGTGAGGAGGAACTTCTTTACTGTGAGGGTGACAGAGCCCTGGCACAGGCTGCCCAGGGAGGCTGTGGAGTCTCCTTCTCTGGAGATCTTCAAAACTTGCTTAGATGCAGCCCTGTGCCCTGTGCTCTGGKTGGCCCTGCGTGTGCAGGGGGGTTGGACTAGATGACCTCTGAGGTCCCTTCCAACCTTAACAATTCTATGATTATWTGCAGTATGTATCTTACACCTTCCAACCTTAAGCATTCTATGATTCATTCTGTGATTCTATGAACATGATGTACATTGCAGGAACTTAAGGAAAATTTTATTGACAGTGAGGGTGACAGAGCCCTGGAACAGCCTGCCYGGAGTGGTGGTGGAGTCTCCTTCTCCGGAGATCTTTAAAACCCACCTGGCCACAATCCTGTGTAACATGTTCTAGGTGACCCTGCATGTGCAGTGGGGTTGGACTAGRTGATCTCTAAAGCTCCCTTCTAACCTTAACAATTCWATGATTATATATAGGATGTATCTTACACCTTTAATTGATATTTACTTCTAATATGGACATCATTTTGACCTGTTTATTGTGGAGCTTAATATACCTTTTTAATTATTCATGTCAGCTTGTGGGAGGAAAATAAACTTAATCCTACCCCCTCCTCTCACTAAGCAAGCAATCAAGGGTGTCTGATTTATCTGTGAGCTACAGTTCTAGCATCTGCAGTTTAAAAGCTTATTATTATCTTTTTTTTTTCTTTTTTTTTTGTAAAATCATTATTGGTCCTAGCTGTGCAAGTCTAGGGTACTAAAAATGATAAAATATTACCAGAAAACAACAATACTACTCAATGTTTACAGTAATTAGCAGGAGCTCTACAGATATGCATGACTAATCATTTGTCACCTGGAGGAAGGTAACAGTTCTACTAGTACTTGGTTATATTTGCATGACTTAAGGAAACTCCACCTTCTGTTGTATGATCTAGATATTTGTCCTATAGACTGCACCATAGAAATTGTGCAATAATTAATAGTAAACTGAATTTTGAAGCCAGGACTTGGTTTGTGAATGGTCTTGGAAATATGATAGCAGCTTCCAAAAAAAAAAAAGGGAATAATGTTTTCTTGCATCTTTATTTTTTGTTTGAAGTTGGTTACTTCAAAAAGCATCAATTTGGAGAGCTGAATTATTGAATAAATAGCTACTCATGGAAATGAAGCATTACTTGCCATCTTGGAGTAAGGCTTATTGTGCGAACATTTCCTTGGCATTATTTAAATTCAGAAACACAAWTATATTTTTTGTTAAGAGTCTTGGCATTTGTAAATATATGCAGAAGCAGTTCATAATCTGGAGTTTTTAGTCTGTTTCTCTTGGCAAGAATTAATTTACAGTATTGCTGTGATATCTTAAAATACTACCTCACAGAATCATCTCTTATCCACTGAAAACTTTGAGATTTGAGAGTAATGTCACTCATCCATACTGTCTTCAATCTAATCCAAACAGATTAAGTTCATAAAAACGTAAAAAAAAAATTATATATTTTCTCAAAATACCCATGCACAGGCATTACCCAAGCATTTTACTCTCTGAAAAGAGATCCTAGAAAATTGCTAGCAAATTCCACAAAAGCACTTTGAGGAATATATTTTGGATGGGAAAGTTACTGAATTTCAGAACCTGAAGGTAGGAAGGAAGTGACTATCTTGACTGCCATAGTCTCTGAAAATATCAAATGAAATTTACTATCCTGAATTTGTTGCCTCTTTTTTCTTTTAAAATTAATCCTGCTTGTGGCAAGAGTTTTAGATGCTGGTCTTACACTGGCTGTATGCAACTGAATTGTTGTGTTCTGAATTTCAAGTGCAAAGGGGGTCACTCACCTTCTTTCGCTGGCACTAATACAGGGATAGATTTATCAATGTAAGCATAAAGCTGCTGCTTTAAATCATTAGCTGATATAAATATTTGAAATTTAATGCTAAAACCAGAATTTTGCATTGCTAGTTGCTTTGAAACCTTATATTATTTAAAAGCAAGATATTTTAAAGAGATATTCGCATCTTTTTACTGGCCTTGATTCATGCACACATGTTAGATGATATGTTTTATTTGTGTRGCCTGTGGTTATATACGAACTTTATATTAGATCCCCACGCTAAATAAATTGGTAGCCTAACCTCTAACTATGACTCGTGAAACAACCTATTAATGGAAGTAAAAATTGCTTGAAAACAAAAGTGCTTCATACTGTTTTATTTTGTTTTGTTTTATTTTGCCAAATTAATAGTAAGCATTTAGGCTGCCCTGATAGCTTTGCATTCCTTTTGGCTTAGGGGAAAGTTACAGATAAATATTTTAAAACTTACTTGTCCTTCATCTTTCAGAATTCTTTCCCTCTGCAACACTTTGTGATGGTGGCCTACACAAATTAACAACAATGACAAAAACTACAGAAAATATTTTTCTTTACTGGAGATTAACTAAAGCTATTGTATTCTAATGTTACCACCTTCTGCTTTGGCCTTGTATCATGATATATGACAGAGCTCAAATGATTGCCCTCTCTTAAACATAATCTTGCCGAGTTTAAGTCACTGATGTTGGAAGTGACTCCTCTTGTAGAAGAGGGAGTGGAGCAAGTCGCTTTTGCCAGTAGAAAGAATGAAATTTTGTTCATTTTTTGAGCACTTGGATGTTGTATGTAATCTTCATTTGTTGAAGTGAAATGATAGGAAATAAACTTCATAAAGTATGTATACAACAGGACTCTGACCAAACTGTTTTGCAGATGAATGCCTGCTACTCAGTGGAGTGTAAGCTTAATCACAACATTTATTTCTATGCCTTCAAATAATTACCCCTCCACACTCCTTCACAAGTCTTCTGAATAAACACTTTAAGTGGCTTCACTAAATGGTACAATATTTCAGGCAAGCTCTGGAAAATAATTTCTCCTCCTTCTCACTCCAGAAAAGAAGGCTAGTTTTTCCATTTACTCGTGGAAGTTTTCACGAACAAAGAAATAGCATTCTTGGATTTTTTTTTATCTTCTGCAAGCATCTTGCTGATATGTAACCTCTATGATCCTATATCCTCCCTTTGTTAATGCTTGCTGTGCCTTAAAATTCTGTCCTAATTGGGTGCTTTCCTTCTACTGACATTTCTCTCTGTAAAACTGCCACAGGTATGTCATGAGGGGAATATAAATGCATTGATTGACAGCCTGTTATTTGACAAATGGCCGTTTTGGAATATATGTCTCCAGTACTACATTATTGTACTCAGATCATTAGATGAAAGTCTGGAGCATGAGCTTATCTACACATCCTAAAGCTACAGAACTTTTATGATGCTCCCACTGGAGACAGATGAAGTAGTTAAAACTTCAGTAATCACCCACTGCTAGCCTGCAATGCATTTTATATCCATGTATCTAATACCTTTAGTATTTATTTGCATGAAGATTTATTTAGATGTTTGCTTGTATCTTGTTAGAGACTTCCTGACAGTTATAARCTGACATATATTTTAAAAATACAATATTGATGATGTGACAGTTTATATCTTTGAAYGTTCAAACTTTTTTTTCCTATAGAAATATAAATAAATATATATATGGAAATGTAATACAAATCCTACAGAAATGTGAAGTGGACACACAGGTTATGTGTTAGACTGTAGGTATATATTTTTGTTCCAACTCTATTAGCATTTCTTTGTTCCTTAACATCAGTTGAGCCAGTCACTTCATTTAAYATTAGACTCAGCAGGCTTAAACTCGTAAGTTGGGATGGAGATAAGTCAAAGTATGGACTCTGTGCTTCTCTATGACCTGTTCTGCAGAGGTGTTTGAAGTCAGTGAAGTTAAGCTAGGGCTGAGCTTAGCTTTGTCTCTTCCAGCCTGTATTTGCTATTTTGACATGAAAATATATGATAGTGTGAATTGTGTGACTGTTATTGGCTGGTTGTTCTTTGAGTTTATAAACTTCTACAGCAGACAGCTCAGACTATGATTCTTTTTGCATCTTGATGTTTTTGCATCTTTTGTAATTAGTTAATACACAAAAACAGGATCAAAAATAACCTGTTTTTAGAAGAAATCACTTTTGTATGCACCTGCAAATGTTTTTTATTCTGCCTGTTTTCATTTTTTACCTCTCATCTCGTCTATACATGTTCTTCAGCTTCTGGAACCAAAGTGCCATGTCAAGCACTTCTGGTTCCCTGTGGCACAAGCTGTTTATACTATGAATGTGTGAAAGATTGAAATTTAATGGTTTCTAGTTTTTAACAAAAGAGAAGATTTTCTGCAATATGTGCTTTTCAATTCTTGGTAACCATGCAAGAATTACTCCAAAAACCCCTTGAGTGCTTATTATAAAGGCTGTGTGTATTCTACAAAGATATACACACATAAAGTCTCTTTACACTTGCCTAGAAAATAACCCCTTTTCATTCCATCCCCAAGAGTTGTTCAAGTTCTCTCTGCCGAGAGCTCTTGCAAGCAGCATTCACCATTTTGGAATGAAGAGGTTTCTAAGCTACTCTAAGCTGGGCCAAAATAGAAAGATGCAATGTAAACAGAGATATAAAGCACATTATGTTCAGAGAAGGAGAATTTCCAACTTTTATGGAGCAAAAAGCACAGATGAAGCCTTGCAGTTAGGATGTTGCCTTTGGTGCAAATGTTGGTTATTTCAGGATATAATTTGTGATTACAGACAACAGTCTATGCCAAAGCAAGCCATGCAATGGAAGACAGAGGAAAGATTACAGATGGGAAAGTGTTATACTTTTGAAGCTGGGCTTGAGCCAGCTCATGGCTCATTTCTCCACTTTCAACTTTCACTGTAGTGTGAAAGCTAACCATTTAGCATTCTATATTACAGCTAGATCTGTTTCCCTGGATCCTAGGATGGAAAGCTTGGAAGTATTGCTTTTGTTCCATTCTTTCCTGT